CTGCGAGGATGCGCCGGGGGCCAGCGGGGCCTGCCGTGCTGGGGGGACCCTCGGCCTCGGCCAGCCGGTCTGCGAGCTGCCCGCCGCCAAGGACCTGGAGGAGGAAGCCGCGGGCCGGAGCGACAGTGAGATGTCGGCCAGCGTCTCAGGTCTGCTAAGGCTTCACGGGGAAGGGGGCCCAGCTGAGGGATTGGGCAAGGAGGGCAACCACGCCGAGGGGGGTGGGGCTGCTGCGAGCCCTCTACACCCTGGGGCCCCCCGGGCTGGTCAAGACCCTAAGTTCTGCGCGCTGGCACGGACTATTCTAACCCTCCAACAACTGAGCCCGAAAGAGAACCGAGAAACTCCTCGGAACCCTGCGTCCTGCGGTGAAGCCTCAGACGTCCAGGGGCAGTGTGCTTTAGACTAGGGTGAGAGAGAACCACTGCTCCCTGGCTTTGAGCCCATCGCCAGTGCCTTCGGCTGAGTCTGTCTCCAAATCCCGAAAGTCAGTGAAAGGGAAGAGCGAAGGGCCCAGAGACCTCGGGTAGCCAGTGTCCTGGCCCTGGCCCAGAGATCAGAAACCCACCTAGCTCGAGGTCCCAGAGCCCGGCCCAACGTTCAAAGATATGTAGCGAAGGACACCTTCAAGTGGGCCCGAGGCCAACCAAGCCCGAGCTTTGGGAGGAGGGCTTATTTCGCTTTCCCAGACCCCAGGGCAGGGAGAGCTGCTCTGGGCTGAGGACTCAGGAGCTGGAGGCAAACCCCGAGGCCAACTGAAGGCAGATGGGCTTGATTAGGTCATCCCAGACTCTTGGGGAAGAGGGACCTCCTCATCCACGAGCTGGCTTGTCACTGGGTCAGAAAGACCCCTGTCGGTTGGACAATGCTGTAGGCCTCACGCTGACTACAAGCAAATAGTATCTGCCCAACGCAGTGCTGGACCTCTCTGCTAGGGTGCTACGGGAGAGCGGGGAAGCAGGGGAGCTGGCGTCAGGTTAGGGTCCAAGGACTTAAAGCAGGGACAGCCCCTTTACCCTCAGTCCTCAGCTCTCCTTTCATTGCCTTTTGAAGACAGAGGGAGAAGCCTACCCATGGCCTTGGCGCATTCTATTGCCACAGCCTTCCCACAGTTCCGGGTGAATGAGACGTAAGACTCCGCATACTTCAGTCTCCTGGATCCGTCTCCCCACTTTCCCTTTACGTGCAGCCAACACGTGTGTGCTGCGACGATGCGTGTGTGAGCGTGAGTGTGGGGAGGCGGGTGAGCCCGAGGTGGGAGTCTGAAACGCCATCTATAAACCCAGGGCTCAGCGCTTAGAGCGGAGAAGTCTTGCGAGGATGCTCAGGGCCCAATGCCCCATTGTTGCTGAGGGGAGCCTGAGGCCCAGAGAGGGCAGGGAGCTGGATCTCGGTCGCCCAGCGTTCATACAGCGGCTCAGTCCAGTTGCCCGCTCAGAAAAAGACTAAATGCAGGAAGTGAGTGGCATGGGGTTCTAAGACTTGTCTCCTGGACCCGCAGTTTCCAGGCCCTCCCCACCACTCGGGCAAGATCAAAGTGTATTTCCGCCCCCAACCCGCCCCCTAATTAAGGCTCGATCTCACCCCTCTGCGGCACTGACAGTCTCCTGTTTCTGTTCCCACTGGGTCCGCAGGCGACCGCAGCCCGAGGGCCGAGGATGATGGTGTTGGCACGGGAGGCGCACGCGTGCCCGCGCTGTGCGGAGGCAGCGGCGGCGGAGGGCCGGCGGGCGGCGCGGAAGAGGAGGAGGAGCCCGCGGCGCCCAAGCCGCGCAAGAAACGTTCGCGCGCCGCCTTCTCCCACGCGCAGGTCTTCGAATTAGAGCGGCGCTTCAACCACCAGCGCTACCTGTCCGGGCCGGAGCGCGCAGACCTGGCCGCGTCGCTGAAGCTCACCGAGACGCAGGTGAAGATCTGGTTCCAGAACCGTCGCTACAAGACCAAGCGCCGGCAGATGGCCGCCGACCTGCTGGCCTCGGCGCCCGCTGCCAAGAAGGTGGCGGTAAAAGTGCTGGTGCGCGACGACCAGAGACAGTACCTGCCCGGAGAGGTGCTGCGGCCACCCTCGCTGCTGCCTCTGCAGCCCTCCTACTATTACCCTTACTACTGCCTCCCCGGCTGGGCACTCTCCACTTGCGCAGCTGCTGCGGGCACCCAGTGAGCCGGCCTAGGGTGAGGCAACGGAAGATCCCCGCGCCCCAGCTCCGGACGGGCGCTGATGGCTGCGCAGGTTGTGCCCTGCACAACGGCGCCCCGCCACCGAAGAGGCAAGTGGAAGATGAAATCCAGCCCTGTCTCTGCTCTCCAGGACGTTTGCCCTGGCTGTGGGACTGGGTCTACCCAGAGGGGGGCGCCTTTTTCTGGTTTGAACAGAGGCATCCGGTGACCTAGAGGCCCTGTTTCCCTCTCACCTGCCTGGAAGCCCTTGGACATTATTTATTACCACCACAATGTTGAATTTGGATTGTGTCTGCCTGGGGAGGCTTTTCCCCAGAGCGGAGAGAACTCCTGGAGACCACATAGCCTGAATCCCAGAATTTCAGGCCTGCTGGGAGCTTCGTGCGCTAGGCCACACTAGTTCATGGTATCCATGCTACCAATCTATGTGTATCTACATATCTATTATTTTTGGAAATTGCATTTGTTACAAAGGGGTGCAGAACCCTGGCAGCCCCAGGGAGCCCCAGGCTAGGGGTTCATTGAAACGTGAAGGGTTTGGTTTACGGGCCCTCCGCCCCACCCCTCCCTGGTGTCACAGCTCGGGTGGGGGCGCCCGATTGGGTGCTGAATGTATAGAACGGAGCCTCTGAGCACAGGGCAGGGCAACTGCCCCGCATCTTCCCTCTCCGAGGTCCAGGGCTGCGACCAACGCGGGGAGCTCCTGGGAGCCCCTGAACCAGAAGAAAGCAAACCCAGGAGCCCTTCTCAGACTTTCCTTTCTTTCTTTTATTTTTGTAAAGGCGGTTAAAACTTGTAGCACTTTTCAGTTGTTTGTATTCAAATGACGGTTATTTTTGTATTCAATGTGAATATCCTTGACCAGCCTTTCCTTGGCGTCCTCCGCAATTCGGCCGCTGGACGCTCTGTCTCTACTGTCCACCCTCCGTGACTCTTGCGTCCTGACCCAGGATTCTCCTATCCCTGTCCCTGCCCCTAAGACAGGTGATCTTGTCAACCTCATGTCAACCTCGCCGCTTTTCGCCTCCTTAAGGGCACTGTGCACTCAACTAGAGTATTAACTTTTAAAAGATTTGTGAAATTTGGAAGCTCTATTCGTTGTATTTTTTTCCCTTTAATTTATAAACTTTTAGATTAACATGCCCTTCTGGACGCCGTGTTTTCTCTGAGCCTTTCCCTCTCCGGCTTTGGGGGAACCGGTAACGTGGAAATACCTGGGGCTCATTTTGCCAACCTCTTTTCAGTCCTGGACCAGATGCCCAGCCCCTTCCGGAAGCCGCCCTTGATGCGCAATTCCGGGAAGAGTTTAGACCCACGCAGCTCAGGGAATCGCTATTTCCAGGACTTTGCAGGAGTCACGTAGGAATCCCACTGAATCCAGAGCAATACCTAGGAGTCCCTTTTTTCTCGTGGGCATTGGTTTCAGAGTCTAGAAAGGGTTCATAGCAACTCGCTGCCAATTTCCATCTCCCACCCTAACCTGTTCACTCCTCCACCTGCCCGCATCCTCTTTGCTTTCGATTTACTGAGCATTTTCTCTAAGCCGTCTGGTCATTATTTCGAGAATAGGCTAGCAAAAACTCTCGCTGGAATCCCGAAGCGGTTAGAGGAGAACGTGGAGCTAATGTGTCTCCCGGGAAGGGTCACCTGCGCTTTGACCCCTGCTGGGTGCAAATGGCGCTCTACCCTGTTCCAAAGCGCTTCCATTCACTCCCTCAATGACACGCCGTCATTTGATCCGCACAGAAGCTCACCGTGGGAGCAAAGAATGGGCAGGGCGATGATTATTTATTACTTCATTTTAGAGATGAACGCGTCCCGCTGGCGTTCCCCAGAATGATTCTCCAGATTTCGAGGATTCACCTGAACGAAGCACTCACTGTTACACGCCTCTCACGTCGGGCCTGGGGCTAGTCAGCAAGAGTTAAGGACATATTGCAGGCGCTAAGGCCTCCAGTCCCGGCGAGTCGGGAAAACACTGAAACCCAGGCCAGGGCTACTTTCAATTTCTCCCGAGCCCATAAGCCACTACGCCCGCCTCCCTGTCCCGCTGCCCGCCCGCGAGCTTTCCCAACCTCGGGCCCCCGGCCTTGGCACCCCAAAGGCCTTGACCGGGCTTCTGCAACCCCCCTAGCCCGGCTGGGGTCAGATAACCGAGACAAATGCTTCACAAAATGATTCTCACTTTTGGAAACAGTGAGACGACAAGGGAAAAACAAATGCTCTCAAGATAGGCACACTCTCGCCCCCAAGTCCAACTACCTTCCAAAGGATTGCTGCAATCATTTTGTTTCTTTTTGACATATTTAAAAATTTCATCTCAATTTCATTATTAATTATGAGTGCATTTTCTCTTATAGAAAGTTAGAACGTTGCCAATAAAGCAAGAATCTCCTCTCTTCTCTCTAGAGATCAGAACTACTGAAGGGTTTTTCTTTTTCTTTCTTTCTTTCTTTCTTTCTTTCTTTTTTTTTTTTTTTGAGGGGGAGGAGGTCATTTTTTTTTCCCTTTCTAAAAATGTCAGTTGTTTGTGGCTACATCTTAAGAATGTAGTTTGTTCTCCATCCTTGTGGATTTGGAGTCGAGAGGACTGGGGAGTTTCTTCTGTAGGCCGGGCAGCTCCCCTTCCCTTCCTCGCCCCCTCTCAGGCTCCCTGCCTGGGCCAGTTCCGCTGGGCTGGCTTGAGTCGCCCAGGAAAAATGACTCAAATTATTTCAGTTTGCCTTGGACTGTTGCAGTTTTACTCTGAGCTGCCCTGCAGCTGGTGTTGCTGCGAGGGACTAAAGATCTGACTCCAGGAGCTGGAGGCAGCCTCCGGGTCCAGTCTGCCCTAGGAGGATTTCCCATCACGTTTCGAGACCCAAGGTGGATGTCTTTACCTGGGCCTCAGGCCGCAGACACAGCTCCTGTTGGAAATTCTCGGTATGACTTTCTTCATCTCCTTTTCCTTCTCTACTCCCCCCCACCTTTCTTTAAAGATGAGAAAGTCAGTTCTGCATCCTCCTGCCCTGCTTCCAGTCCAAGGGGATCTTCCTTCATCCACTCCTTGTGCCCCTGGGCTGCGCTGAGCCCTCTGAGCCTTCTCAGGGCTTGGTCGCCAGGAGCAACTGTCACCTGAGTTCAGTAGACTTTTGGCTTCATCTTTCTCAGTCCCTTTCTGCCCTTAGTGAATCTCAGAGCTGGCCTTAAAGATTATTGAGTCTAATTCACGCACTTAGATGGGAAGAATGATGGCAAGGAGGGTAGAATACGCTGTGACCTGTGCCGAAACTGGTCCTGGGGAATCAGGCTTAGCCTATGAATCTTGCTCTGGGCAGCAAATTTGGGATGATCGGGTATCAAATGTTGCTGG